ACTCATTTTTAGTGACACTAATTTGTGTGCAAGTATTTTTGACCATTTTTGACCATTTGGACATTAATCTCACTTAGGTTTGTTCGAGCCGGGTGATACTGAAATTCCAAGTGTACAAGTTGATCGTGGTGGTAGAAAGGAGTAATATATGTCTCTTACAGACTATATAAGTTACAGTAACAACCTGTAAAGAAGTAAACGCGCAGCAAGTTTGTAAAGGATTAATAGCTAATGCTATCTATCTTCAAGTGTCTGTTTTAATGGTCACAAAGAAACTATGCAGGTACTGTATCGTGTTGAGGTTGCTGGTAGTTTTTAAAACAACTGCTGGTAATATGCAATACAAACCAAATAATATTCCAAACATTGAAACTGGTCGCTAAAATAAGAAGTATTTGGCGTACCAAAATTAGTCTGTATTGCAATTTAGTCTCATTGAAACCATTTTGAGTCAACAAAAAAATATCATTGAAACTGTTTTGTGTCTATAAAATTGGAAACGTCACACACAAAGTAGTCTCGGTTAGACTAACTGCGGTTACTACTGTACTGTCTTTCAAACTCTAGCGGGATCCTGCAACGACGGCGCGCCCTATTTGTAGTACCTCGTGACTGGCATTGACTATCATTAGTATGTGCGTTGGTTGTGCAATGATAAGATTACTATTGATGATGCACCACCAAAACGCTACAAGGGAAGCAAATGGGAATGACGTTACTTTAAACGACATATCAATTGAACTAGACAAACACCAAACCAGTTCGAAAGCCATGTACATTGTTATTATTGCTCTGTTGGGTTTAGATGAAAGTCTAACCGTTGACTTATATCTTTCAAATCACAGCACTTTATAGTACTGCGTATTCTTGAATGACGCATTACCTAAAACAAGTCACTCTAAACTATACTTTGAACAATGCAGTAAGTGTTACCCTAAACGAAATGAAGTCTCTATCTTTATTATATACACAAACTTCCTGTAAATAGCAACAATACTATTCCTAAGTTAAGGTACATGTATCAGTCAGACTAATTCCTCCGAGCGAAGAGAGAGGCTCGAATCTATCTGCTAAGCTTTGAAACAACAGATCACTTCAACCGTTGCGGCCGGTCGCTATTCGATATTTAGCGAGGAACCACCACCATTCTAGACGTCGAGATATGTAGCCAAAGCCGGAGCTCATGATGTTGACGTAGCCGGAGGGATAGTTTTGATAGTAGCAGTAGTCATACAGTAGTCACGGATGCTGCCACACTAGCTAGCTACCGTAGCTGTAGGCCGTAGCTGTAGGCGAGAAGTAGTCGGGGTAGGAACCGTATCAACTTTGCCGTAGCCGTGGTAGTCGTTGCCGTAGTAGTCGTTGCGTCTATACCCGTTGCACGAGACGCTTGGTAGTGCATTTCAGATACCCGACAGGAGAGCTTGGTATGCATGTTGCTGACTGGAGCTGGTTCGGTGGTCAGCGTTGCTGGCGGACTGCGGCGAAGGCAAAATGGTAAGTAATGGAATGCTACGATTCGGAGAAGTTGTAGTCTACTACGCAGGTATCGCCGACAGAAATTTTGCATTAGCGTGATTAGCTTAAATTTGTAGAATCGCCGACAGAAATTTTGTAGCGTGATACATAAATTTGTAGAAGCCTACAGGTTGTCCGACAGTCGTGCGAAGCCTCGAATTCGAGTGCACCACACAACCTGTCGCCACAGAGAACATTCACCTAAGATGTCTCCTTGGTCAGGGAATACTGGTTCACAAACTACGCTGTATTCGCGCAGTAAAGATGCTACCATGTCGTATTATGACAGTTTCATCGATACCTAAATAAAAGTACCTGATGGTATTGTGCAGGTAGGGGAAACAGAAGCAAACCAGGTACCAATAAACCATACGCGCAGCACCCGCGTAGCGGGTGCCCAGAGCGCTAGTACAGGTATATAAGAGAACTTCCAGGACCTCCTCGTCCTAGTTGTCC